AATGTTTAGACTTTTGTTAATGAGATTTCTGATCTCTCATTGTTTCTGTTTGATTGCAGAAGAAGATTAATTATGGAGCCAATGATGAGAAGAACATATCAGTGGTTTGATTTTCTTTGCATTTCCACTTAATGGTTTTTTTTGGGTTTGTGTTTCTTTTGAAATGAAGCAGAGAGGTGGAGAGAGATCAGATCGTGATATATGGCGTTCACGGAATGCTGAATTCTTTTACGGTTGTTGTAATGCAAGCAGCAAATTCCCAAGTGAGAGCTTCAATATCACGGTTCTGCAATTAGGACTAGTTAGATAGAATCAGCCTGAGCCATATTATTTTCTGAATTCAAGATATTAATTTGTCTTGGTTTTCTTACTCCAGGTGCTAAAGCAATTACTAGAAATGATCGATACTTGGCAATCGCAACTAGTGGTGGTTTAAACCAACAACGAACTGGAGTAAGTTCCTTTAGCTTTTTATGGTTTTATGTCAACTCTTTTTTCATGTTATTGAGTTTCACAATGCATTTGCTTATTTCAGATTGTAGATGCTGTTGTTGCTGCACGAATTCTAAATGCTACGCTTGTTATTCCAAAGTTAGACCAAAAATCTTACTCAATAGAATCTAGGTTCGCTTTTCTTTACTCTTTTCGCAAAAATCAACACTATATAGGTCTTAGTAACATTTTACTTTGTGTGTGTGTTTTTTAATGCAGTGACTTCTCGTATATTTTTGATGTTGATTGGTTTACGTCATTTCTCTCAAAAGATGTCAAAATCATAGAGCAACTTCCAAAGAAAAGAGGGAGAACGTGGAGCCCCATCAAATTGCGTGTACCGAGAAAATGCAATGAGACATGTTACATTGATCGGGTATTACCTGTTCTTCAGAAAAGCCATGTAAGTTCTCTTTTGCTTTCTCTCAATCTTTTTGCTTCTTAGCAGTTAAAAGTTGCGTACTTGCATCTTCCTATGTGATACTTATGTGGTCTTGTAAATCTTTGCTTCAGGCAGTTCAATTGGATAAATTTGATTACAGACTTTCGAACAAGTTGAGAGATGATTTGCAGAAGCTGAGGTGTAGAGTAAACTATCATGCGCTTAAGTTCACTGATCCAATTCTCAAAATGGGTAATGAATTGGTCAGACGAATGCGGTTAAGGAGTAAAAACTACATTGCTTTACACCTTAGGTTTGAACCCGATATGCTCGCCTTCTCGGGATGTTACTATGGTGGTGGTGAGAAGGAGAAAATCGAGTTGGGATCAATCAGAAGGATATGGAAAACCTTACATGTATGCCTACAAGTCCCATTTGTGCCATTGCCTTGTATATATTTTCTTTTTCTTTTTGTTGTTGGGGCTAACGAATTTCTTATCGCAGATAAATAACCCGGAAAAGCAAAGACAAGAAGAAAGATGTCCGCTTACACCAGAAGAAGTTGGATTGATGCTTAGAGCTTTGGGATATGGAAGCGATGTTCATATATATGTTGCATCAGGTGAAGTATATGGAGGAGAAGAATCATTAGCTCCACTGAAAGCACTTTTCCCACATTTCTATTCAAAAGACACTATAGCCACAAAAATGGAGTTAGAACCATTTTCATCACGAATGGCTGCACTCAATTTCCTTGTTTGCGATGAAAGTGATGTTTTCGTTACTAACGATTATGGAAACATGGCAAGGATATTAGCCGGTCGAAGGTAAACCAAAGCTTTTCGTTCTCCTTGTTCATTTTATGTTTCTTCTAAAGGTTGTTAGCTTTTATGTATTGAAAGATGATTCTTGGTTTTGATGTAGGAGATATTTTGGACATAAACCGACAATTAGACCGAATGCGAAGATGCTAAACAAGTTGTTTTTGAGCAAAGAGAACACAACTTGGGAGGAATTTGCTTCAAGAGTCAGAACATTTCAGATAGGATTCATGGGAGAGC